ATCCCATTACCGGTAATTCTTAATTCAATCATGAATCTCCAATTCAAACATTTAATCAATCAATCCTTAATCGAATTGATTTTTAATTAAATGATCCGTTACATTCTAATTTACCAAATACTCATTCAATTAACCTTGAATTGCTTTTACATAGCTTAATTGCTCATTTTTCCCAAACTCTTTTCAATTAATACCTAAATTCGGATTTGTCACTATTCATCATCTTCAACATCTCAATTTCTCAAATTCATTTGATTTCACTTCAAATTAACTTCTTATGTCACTTACATAAGATAATTAAACATCATTCAAGTCATTACAATTATGTAGAATTATTTTTTGAAGGATCATGCATCCTATGGAGGTGCGAAATAAATAAAAATTTTCCTCCATCTAAAAGGCCTAAGATCATGTCATTAAATCAACTAACTATATATACATGAATTAAAGCAATAAATAGAGAATTATCTCTTATAGCATAGATGTAAATTCTTTAGTAGAAAAGTCATTCGTGTATCCGACCTCTATTGATGATTCACATAGTTCAAGCACCCATAAAAAAAACTCAAAATTGGTAAAGTGCTAGCTCTACATTTTTTTGATTCGTGTAGTGTTTTCTATAGAAATTTAATTCGGATAATTTTGTAGCAACCTTAAAAAGAGGGAGAGAAAGTGGCGTGCTAGGGATTTTTGGAAGAAAACTATTTTTTTCCTTTTTCCTTTCTTGGTCGTGTGCCCTAACTCCTTTTTCTTTATTGGCCGAATTCTCTTTTTTTTTTTTTTGTCGCACCTCTCTCTCCTATACACTTATAAGAGAGAGACTTCCTTATCCTTCAAGAATAAGGAGGGATGGTAATGAGTCCTTTAAGGACTCTAGGTTGTTGCTTTCTAATCCTCCAAGGATTAAGAGTTATTTAATATGTGGGCTTTTTGATCTTTATCTTTAAATCATTTATCTTTATCCAATAAGGTTGATGTTTATCCTTCCATCAAAATATCTTAAGGCTTTTAATTAAATCTATTAGGCCAAAATCGTTACGCTCAATTAATTTATTTGGACTATCCAAATAAATAATTTTAGATAATTTTAGGTGGTCCACATTAGGAAATAATTTTTCAAAATACCCTTTAACCTAAATTAGGAAACTCATTTTCATTTTAGGTTATTTACTTTTAATTAAATATATTGGGCCAAAATCATTTTGGCTCAATTAATTTATTTGGACTATCCAAATAAATAATTTTAGATAATTTTAGGTGGTCCACATTAGGAAATAATTTTTCAAAATACCTTTTAACCTAAATTAGGAAACTCATTTTCATTTTAGGTTATTTACTTTCAAATTTGGAATCAACTTCCAAATTAGGAAACTGATTTCTAAAATAGAAAAATTTTCATTTTAGGAAACATCCATTTAAGGAAACTTTCCATTTTTGAAAACCTTTTTCAAAATGAGAAACTTTTTCTAATATCTTTGCTCTTTTTTAATCATACGTATATTTAAACTTATAAGTATGACTCGATAGGCTCTTAGATATGTTAGCAATGTATCAAGAATAAAAGACTCCTCTTTTATCTCTTGATATATAACTTGATACATAAATCAAGATTGGCCTCTAGCAAGATATTATGACTACCCAATTCTCTAGGAGGATTACTTAATCTATTATTACCTTTCACGAGCGTGGTTACCATACAATTCGGTTCTCATATCTACTTATCACAATATGATCTCAAACTTGGTTATAAGTCTCGTTCGATTATGATTAAATAAGTTTTCTTTGATTCTCAAATGTCTTAGTTGTTATTGTAAACTAACTATACTTTATTGGTGTACTCCTACCGTAGTCATGGATTTCTCGAACGGACATTCATCGAAGTGCAATGTGATAACTCTTTTAGCATATAAGGAATGACATGTCCTATTTTATTCATACATCTACCTCTATTAGACTCCTAGTGCACTTAACAAATCACCCACGTGCAATCTCTTATCGAGTCTATCGAAATGAGTGTCAAAGTGCATAAATTTTCTAATAAGATAACCGTGATGACTTCGACTTTAAGGACTAGTTGTACCCATCTCGTATAAAGTTTTTATACACTAAACCAAATGGGTTCTCATGATGAGTCAAGTCCAAGTAATACATTCTTTGACATAAATCACCTAAGTGGTTGCTTTGATATTACTATACCAATAGGTGTGAGATCTCTTATCGATATCATATAGGATAAGCATAGCACTTACAAGTCTATCTATATATAGTTAATGTCCATTCTTAATAATACTACGACTTGGAACGTTTAATGATATCATTTATATGTATTAGATTTTGTCTTACATCTTTCGATCAATCATTATTGCAAATGCATATCATAAGGACTTCTATTTAATTCTACTGAATTAATAAACATAAATATAAAAATTAATAGAAAGACTTCTTTATTATTATTATAATAAATGATGCAACAATATGATAACTCAAACCCATCCAAACATGGTTGGATCTTGGGCACCTACATTAACATTTTTTTCCCCAAATGGGTCTCAAAACCCTAACCTTAATCTAAGCAATTTCTTAAGTGAATCATAATACAAAGCTACTCCAACTCAATATCATCATTAACTACACATAAACTTCACAATTTAAAGATCAATGGATTAAAGATCTTTCCTTTATACTAAGCTCCTCAAATTCCAAATTCTTTCTAGTTTTTCAAAGCTTCTCGAGCTCCAAGCTCCAAGCTAGCTAGACTCCACTTAAATATTCTAATTTGTGTTTCCCTAAGCTAATTTAACATGGTATTAGCTTAGGAATCAAAGAAGAGAAATTGGAAGAAAATGGGAGAGAATTATATGAGGTAGGGAAAGAAAAGATAGAAAAATACGGAGACAACCAAGTCATCCCGTTTTTATATCAACTCTCCCCCCTTTTTTTTTTAATTTTAGGTTATTACAAAAACCTTTTTTATTCTTTTTTCTTAGTCTTTTTTTTTTTTTTGAATTTCCATAATGTCGAGTAACGATATTCATGGTGGTTTTAAGCCATAAAATATTTAAAAGAGATAGATCGTAATCTAAAAAAATGGAATTTTTCAAATTGATATATATATATATATATATATATATATATATATCAATTTTTTTTGGAATTTCCATAATGTTGGGTAACGACATTCACGGTAGTTTTAAGCCATACAATATTTAAAAGAGATCGATCATAACCTAAAAAATTGAATTTTTCAAATTGATATATATATATATATGCATTGAAATGCTTCTTTCTATTTTTTACTAATTTTTTATTATTGAATTGGGTGAAAAAAATTATAGAAAATCAATCATTTTTTTTTTTTTTTGGTTTTTCGCATAGGTTGACGATGATAAAATATATATGATATGTTTTTAGAATTTAGAATGAACTTATCGGATTATATTACTCTTATTGTTTAATATTGATTTTTTTTGTTTCTTATGAAAATTCCCATAAAATTAATTCGTTTTTGTATAATTAGTTTTTTTATGAAAAGTCTCATAAGATTGATTTTTTATTTTTATTTTTGTCGGAAAACAATCATTTTATATTGTTTTATTTAGTTCTTATATGTTTGAATAATTAGTTTTTGTATACGCTAAATTATTTGTGAAAATAAATAATTTATTATTTATATTTATTTATAATTATATTTAATTACTAATTTATTTATCATTTAAATAGTCATTTTACATATTAATATATTTGATTAATTTAGTTAATAAAAATTTTATTTTATTTTATCTATTTTGAAGTTGTAATTTAAATGTTTCATTTATTTTTAAAAATAATTAAATAATTTTTAATCTTTAAATAAATAAATAACTAATTTATTTTATTAAAGAGATCTATTCAAAAAAGTCTAAAGAATTTAAGGGAAATGAGTAGGGATAGGCCAAAAAACATGTTTTTTGTTCTATTGAATAGCTGAAGAGCTTGTTATACCAAAAATTTAGATATGACAACCAGTAAAGCCTAATGTTGTAGGTGCATTCTTATGATAATTCAGAGATAAATTAATGCAAAAGCTGATTTTAATAATAAAAATAAAAATAAAAATCATGTGCTGCATCTTAGTACCAAACGGGTCTATAGCTGCTGTGCTGTGACTTTGAGCAAGGCCAAACGGATCCTTCGCCAAAACCTCGACCTCCTAAACAGGACATAACCGTAACTGAAACGATCGGAAACAAACACAACTTGTCTTGGCCAAATTTCAAAAAACCCATCACTTACACTCCCATGCCAAACTCCGACCAAGATCACCTCACCATCAACCGCTACTAGTACATAGTATCAAGTATCAACCCCACCCCAAGAACAAGAGCCGCTTCCAAATCTGCCTACAAACACGTTGTCTCATGTAACTCCTCTCCACTGAAAAGCCACAAAAAAAAAAGAAAGAAAACACCTGAAATCCCCCACAAAAACCCTTACAAGAGGCCAAACGCTTGCGCTTACATTTTGAAAATTCAGCTTCTTCATCTCCCAACAATCACTAGGAGTTCAATTGCAGTTTGTAAAATTTTCCCACCCTTGAGAGCTTAGTAAGAATTTTTCGGTCCTTTATATGTTAATGTTGTTGTTATGTTTTATAGGATTTTTGAGGATGGAATGGAATGTCTCTTTTTATTTGGAAGCTTTCTTCTTCACACTAGATTTAGTCCCACCAAACCCTAAAAAAAAATTAAAAAAATAAAAAAATCCTACTATAAAAGTCTAATTAATTGATTGATACAACAAATGGCATGAAAATCCCTTAAATTATTTTCTTGTAGGAACTGATTTCAACAAAAAAGAAAAGAAAAGAAAATAAAAGGATCATTGGTGGAATCATTGTTGAATTCCCTGCATCTTTCTTATTTATGCATGCAACATGTTTTCTTGCCACTACATTGTTTCCACCTTTTGTCCAGTGTGTTTTCCCTACTAGCATAATCCACCCAATCTTTTATTTGTTCGAGATGAACTTTACCTTAATCGGCATTGTTCACTTTGTAGTGATGGGGGGCTTGGAAAAGGTGGGTTTGAAAGCTGTTAAATTAGAGAAAGAATATGTTGGGGAAGGAGTGCAAGAGAGAAACCGCCTCAAGGCCCAACAAGATGAGGGTCGGAAGTTTGCTACTCAATCTAGACGACAAGAATCTGAAGAAAATAAAAGCTCAAATGCGTTAAGTACTGTCCAGAGCAATTCAAGTGTATTGGGGCAGGGACAGTCTCAGGTAGATGACAGTGGCATTTCTTGTGCATCTACTATATGTCCAGCACCACTTTGCCGTCAATTTTGGAAATCTGGGAATTATGATGATGGGTTCAGGTCCAAGGTCACACTTCAAAGTACGCAGCTATCAATTCTTTCGTCATAATTTCATGATATTCAAGTTATGCAATCTATCTTCTGGTTTTACTGTACTCCTTGTTTTGCCTTATAAGTTGGATGGGTAAAACCTTGTGCAATCTGCAGAAGTATCTATTTTCGGTGTCTGTTTATAGTTGATAAACCATTCTCCATTTTGTTCTTTTGTAATCTTTGTTTTGTTTTTTTTTTCCTTTTGGGATAACAGATGGAAACAGTTATCTCCATGTGCACCCCATGTTTCTTCATTCAAATGCCACTTCTCATAAGTGGGCTTTTGGTGGTATGTCCAGCTAATACAGTGTTCTATGCTACCTGTACTTTGTTGATGATGAATTTAAGAATAGCACTTGATTTTAACTGTCTTTTGTTGTTTGCAGCAATAGCAGAACTGATTGACAATGCAGTCGACGAGGTAAATTTTTAACTGAACGTTTTAAGTAGTCAATTTTTTTTTTTTTTAAATGGCATACATGGGCCCGGTTATAATGCAGTCTATTGTTTAAAGTATGAAAAAATGTGGCGTAGTGTTGGTTTTAAGCCTATATATGTCATGCGGTCACAGTTGTAAATTCTTGCTTAGATGTTCTCTTGACTGGACAGAGCAGTGCATTGGGGAAATGGTTGGGACACCAGTCCAGGTGATCTCCTAAACCTGGAGGTCATGAAACTTTCTTTTTTGGTTGATATTATAGAAGGCTATACTATTTTCACTTTCTAATGATTTTTCCAAAATGTGACAAGTAATTAGTGCCTGCCTGAACGCACACGCACACACACGTGCATCCCATGACAGAAAAAATAGCAATAAGAAAACTGAATAACTACTCAGTAGACAGTTTGAATACAAAAACCAATATTTATGAAACTTTTACCATTTATCGATCATAGGCAAGCTGAAGCCAAAATTTTTGAAGATTTTATCAAATCAATCATAATTTTTTTAAAAAACATAATTTTCTTAAAACCACTAATTTAAGAGGAAAAGGGCCACATTTAATCTTGTCTCGCTGTGTGAACATACATAGGTTGAATTGATCCACTTTTTTAATGTGGGTATGTATGGATTTGTTTTAATTTAATAATTAAACTTATAAATGTGCATGATATCATGAAAACACCACAGTTTACCCTTTTGACTTTCTCCATTTCCTGATTCAATGAGTGGCTTGGTTTTTAAACATTTTGGATGATGTTATGACAGCTTAGGTCTTGATACCTGCTCCTTTGTTCTTTATTCGTTAAAACAGACACACATGAGTCTGTTAAGTGCTAATAAAGACAGATCAGCTTTTGTGACACTAACAGCCTTTCTTATGTCTATCACTATCAAATATATGCCATGGTACTCGTATGTATTAGGATGTCTTCACCATTTATTTCAGGTTACCAAACGGTGACATTTCAAGCTGTGAATTTCACTTTTTATATCCTTTTCTTTTTTTACTTGATAGATCCAAAATGGGGCCACTTTTGTCGTTGTAGATAAAACCTCAAATCCGAGAGATGGAAGTCCTGCATTGCTAATTCAAGGTGCATTTACCTTGTCAGACATAAAGAATTTTTGTTAATGTTGTTTTGTAGTCTTTGTTGACAAAACATTTATCTTAAAGTACCGATTACTTCCTGATTTTGGCCTTTGTGTATTTCCATTTTATGACTAGATAATGGTGGTGGAATGGACCCTGAAGCTATCCGGCGATGCATGAGTTTTGGATTTTCCGATAAAAAGTCTAAAACAGCTATTGGAAAATGTATGGAACTTGTGTAATGCATTTAGTGAATTCTAAGATTATTTCCTTTCATATTTATTGCTTGAGCTGTGGTCTTTCAGATGGTAATGGCTTCAAGACCAGCACTATGAGACTTGGGTCAGATGTGATTGTCTTCAGCCGCCACTTGGATGATAGGTTTGATTGTGATTCTGCAAACTTTTTCTGACTTGTTCATTTCAATTTAAATGTTTACATTTCTTATGCAAACCATGCATAAGTGAAATGATTGCCACTGCTGACTGGTTATATATTTCAAACATGGGGACAGATATTCTTTTACTTTCTGGTTCATTTATTAATCTTCTACATATTTCTATCCCCTGCCATCACAATTGTTTCTTCTCTATCTTTGATGATGAAACTGTATAGATGATAGTAACATAAGTAGATAAAGAACAAATCTCAGGTCCAAAGAGAAAAAAAGAAAAGAGCAAACCCTGCTCCTTTTGTTTTCTAATATCGTGTAATATGTAATTACCCATTCTTGTCTCCTCATTAGTTTATGTAACGAGCAGGGTAATGACACAGAGCATTGGTCTCCTCTCTTATACATTTTTGACGCAAACAGGGCACGACAGAATAGTGGTGCCAATGGTGAGTTTCACTTCCCCACTTAGTTATTTTGTTGAGGTTCTTCCTGATTCTATTCTATCTATTGTTGGGAGTTTTTTTTTTTTTTTCTCTCTCTTAATTTTTACTTTTGCGAAAGTAAATAATTGCAATTATTTAGACATGATGTTGTCGCCTTTTAGCATGTATATGTAGTGGTACCACACACATGCCACAACAACTTGAGTTGAGGTTCTGCCTGCTCTTTTGGATGGTATCCTGATTTGATAATGGAACATCACAAAGTATATTTTCCATCTGAAGGGATGAGAAGATCCCAAACAAAACTGAAGGATTTAAAGGGATGAGGTTATATGTTCCCAAATATTAGGATCCTGGGGCAGACCTCAACAGGTGCTAGTGAACCATTGGTCTTAAATCCTGTTATTATGTAGCTGAATTAGCTTTTGACCTTTTGGTTTCCTGGATATGGCAAACTGCTGCTTGTACTTTTTATCCCTGCTCTCCATTTTTGTTTGCAAGTTTGTAGTTCTGGAGTCTCTTTTAAGAGCTTGTTCCATATGCAGGTGGATTATGAATTTAACACAACTGGTAATTTGGAAATTTCACATCGGTATGATAAAGAATATTTTATGTCTAACCTTTCAATGCTCTTGCAATGGTCTCCCTATTCAACAGAAGCTGAGCTGCTGAAACAAGTAAACTCCTATCCTCTATCTTTTCCCCCTTGCCATCATTCATCGATTATATGTTGCTTCTCGTTCTTATTGAACTCAGATTGGTTTTACAAGTCAATGTAGCTAATACAGAGTAGTTTTTTTTCCAGTTTAGTAATGAATTTCTAATGGTTCCTTTAACTCCTATACAAATTCTGAGCTATTTAACAGAGGTACACACAACAGGCATGTAAAATATAGCTGCTATTTTTACCCTAAGACTACGGTTCCTTCTATTAGAGTTGGATTAAAAATCAGATGGAACAAAAGTGGATACATCTTAAAAGTGTTTGTTTATATGATTGTTCATTTTCAACAGATACTGTGATGTATGGAAACAGTATAGATAAAATTCTCGTTGTTGTTGATTGGGAGTTGGGATTGTTGTGAATAGGCCAGACACTTAATTTCAGTTGCAACTGTGGTAGAATTGGAGCTGAAATTTTTGTTTGGTAGTTGGAGTGAGATTTGGATGGTGGCAGTAGTAGTAAAATGGATAGTGAGATGAATGAAGATTAAAGACAAAATGGAATAGAATAACAAGAATAAGGAGACAACCACAAGCACCAAGCTGCACCTCTAAATCTTTTCAAAAAGTTCATTTTACTTTGTGGTCATAATAAGTGAAACACAATTAAATGACACAGAACTTCCAGATACACCTTGATTGTTGATAAAAACTAGGATTTGGACATGCTTTGTTGATCACCCATGTCTTTCTCCCTGCAAGCTCATTCTTAAAATAACTCTAATATGATTTGCAGTTTGATGACATTGGATCACATGGCACAAAAGCTATCATCTATAATTTGTGGTTCAGTGATGATGGCAATGTGGAGCTAGACTTTGATGCAGACCCAGAGGTTGGAACTTCTTTCACTCTCTTTGTAGCTGTTTTCTACTTTAACTTTTTTTTTATTATATAATGCTATGATCTCAATTAGCTACTTTATTGTGGCATGGTTGCAGGATATTCGTATTGGTGGGGATGTAAAAAAAGTGCAGGCAAAATCTGCTTGGAGGACAGTCAATGAACAACATATTGCCAACCGATTACATTATTCACTACGTGTAATTTTTTTTTCCCTCTTCATGCAAGTTTATAGTAGAGTTAATATTTCACAGCCAGTGCATAATTTTTATGATAAGCATCTCCACCTAATTTCATGGTGGGGACATCATAACTCATTCACACATGCGTGCTCATGTGCAAGCACATTTAAGGAATATATGAATTTGAATTTTGCTCTCTGATCTCTTATATTCCTCAGGCATATTTGTCCATATTGTACCTGAAAATACCAGAAACTTTCACAATAGTACTGCGTGGGAAATTCGTTGAGCATCATAATCTTGCCCTTGATCTCAAATTTCAAGAATTCATTGTTTATAGACCTCAAAGTGTTGGATGCAAAGAGGTATTATTTGTTGCAAACTTTCTCCTTGTTTAGTTGCTCTCTGCATTGCATTAATAAATAAATAAATAATGAATAACTGAATGTCTTGTTTCTTAAGTTGCGTATAATTTTAGGTACCAGACCATATTAGTATGGTTCTCTAAACCAAAATTTGTCGTTTCCATTATAACTATGAGTCAACTGCAGGAGGTTTAAAGTATCATTTTTGGTAGGTAGTGCCACCCCTGCTGCCTGTCTGAGTGGGAGGTGGGATCTAATAAGAAATCCAGCGTGCGTGTGAGTGTGTGATTCTAAGATTCTTTCAAATATATAATCCCTGCATATCTCTTAACAATTATTTCATATCTTACTGCTCATCATTGTCAGAGTTTTCCAATGTCATTCTGATGCTTATTTGTAGAGTTAGTTCATGTCTTGCTCCCTTTCTTTGTCTAACTTTAGCATGTTAATCTGATGCTTATGTTGTAAAATGCACACGATTCTTATGTTCAGTGATTGTAATTCTTGTTCCTATCTGGTTTAATTGTGCAGGGTGAAGTCCTAACTACAATTGGGTTTTTAAAAGAAGCTCCACATGTCACTGTCCACGGTTTCAATGTCTACCACAAGAACCGTCTTATACTGGCAAGTGTCTTTAAATTGAAAGGTTTTACCTTTGCATTGTCAGATGTGATAATATTGTTCTCATTGGGCATTCTTCTGGTTTTGGCCCTCTATCCCATTGCACAGTATTTATAAATGCTGTTCTGATGTACAACCAATTGATGCCTGAATAACCAACATAAATTTAAATTCTCAAAAAAAAAAAAAAAAAAAAAAAAAATTTTCAACCAGAGCATCATAATATAACTTGAATGGTATTTATAGGTACCAAAGCAAATAGAGATAGAAAAACTAAATTATTGGAAAACATATTAAATAGGAAATATAGCTAGATTACTTGTTAGCCTGCTCTGAATAATAATATAAATTGTAAAGGAATAAGATGGTCATCACTTTGAGGTAAAGGACTTAAAGCAATGGACTTTTTACATGAAATCTAGAAGAGTAGCAAATTGAAGATTCCATCATTGTAAATTTTAAAGAAGAGGTTAATCACATTGACTTCATCGTCCCTTCAAAATTCAATATTGAGAAGACTATTGTACTGCCATCATTATTGCCATCATTGTAGAAAAGTGATAGTATCAAAAGCAAAAACGTTTCTTTGAACTTTGGATGTCATTGAAGCTCTTGGAGCTTTTGCTACTTTGTTACTCCAAAGCTAAGGTTGAGAACCAGGAAGTAATGTTGGGGAAGGGGAACTACTTTGGAAAATAATTTTATTCTAAATTTTAATTGTTTTGTAGGAATTTCCCTATTTATTATATTGTAGTTAAAGTAGATTTAATACGGAATCTAGTTATATGTCCTATTTATTAGTTTTCTGTAGTTCAGTTTTCCTATGTCTATTTGCTTTGGTGCCTAGAAATAGTACACTAGTTAGACATTCAGGTTGGGTTAATTTAATAATTAACTTCTCTTGAGAATACGTTGCTTTGAATGGGTAAATCAATCATTTGTACTTGTGGATTTGACATTAATCCTCTCATACCTTAAACCTCCATTGATTAAAGATTGCTTGAAGAGTCATTTTTAATTACTAAAAAAAGATCTAGGTTTCATCAAGTCTCTTGGGTTTGTGTTGTTTTCATTTATCAATTAGTTCTACATCATGTTAATTGCTGGCTGTGTTATATTTGGTGGATATCAAATATGGAACTGTAGTTGAAAGATATACACATTTTACGCTGTCGATTAGATCTTCCAGTTTGGGCATTTGTCTAATTAAGAAATATACCTAGTTTTGTTGAGAATGAGGATCATGCACTGTGCTTCCACTTGAAATCTTGGAGGAAGAGAATGATATGCAGGTGTACGTGCTCATGTGTATGCATGAATATTTAATGGTCAAAGGTGTTAGGGAGCAAAGTCTGCAGATTGGTAGTTATTGCACTTGCAATGCTCTACGGAAGAAACATCACTGTTCTGGAGAATTGAATATTTCAAGAAAATGAAATCAGTTGAACTGTGTCATGCTCTGCATTTTAGTGTAGTAATTATTTTTACAAAGGAAGAATAATTATTACAAAACCTAAAGGTGACAAGAAATGGATGCATGATCACTCATGGAATTGCAAAATCTTACAAAGGCAGAATAATAATTTTAACAACAAAAGATGATAACTGAGAAGTGAATGTAAGATCATACATGGAATTATGAAATGACTTCCTAAGAGATGTGTTAAGGATAGCTGGCAAAGCCATTTAAGCATGGGGAATAGACCACAGAACCTTACTTGCTGACTTACTCCTATGTATCTCCAAAACAAACCTTCTTATTTTCATACTATGTTTATATGCCTCCTTTGTGAAGTTTAGATGTCATATGTTTGTGTTGCTTTCTTTACCTTCACATTAAAGTTTGCATGGAGCCCCAACCATTTCTTTTCTCTTGGTAATGTAAAAGGTTTAGTGGTAGCTGTATCTTGTTTGGTTTTGTTTTGAGGAAAATAATTGCGAACTTCTGAAAGTCTCTTCTTTCTCTTGCAATGCAGCCGTTTTGGCCTGTTGTGAGCTATGCTGACAGTAGAGGCAGAGGGGTGGTTGGTGAGACGCTGCTATATTGTCTATATATATATATATTGCTCTTTTCATATGCTGTTGAGGTGAATTTTGTTCAGAATTGTAATCAATTCTTGACAGTATCTAGTAAATGTTTCCTTAGGTGTTCTGGAAGCAAATTTTGTTGAGCCCACTCATAACAAACAGGATTTTGAGAGAACTTCCCTGTTTCAGAAGCTTGAAAGTCGATTGAAGGAGATGACATGGGAGTACTGGTAAACTTCTCAATTTCCACTAAAATAGATTCTTTATTTTGAGTAATTTGGAAGTTTTCATCTTTTTGCTCTTTCTGGGGCTTTCACTTGTTTTGTCTACATCGATTTTGAGACTTCCAAAAAACTGGCATGTCTTTTATGTGGCTGCATAGTCTGTCCATGGATGTTCAAAGTTAATAAAAAGATTATTGCATAATCACAAGCTTCCATGTTCTTTTTCCTTTTTCTAAATTGCGTGCTTGATTTGTTGTTAAATGTATTTGCATGGGATCTGTGGCAACTAATTGATTAATTGAAATGATTCTATGCGGTGACAAATGTCCCTTATAGTAAGCATCTAATCTATGCTTATGTATACATATGAATGTGTTGGAATAGGAAATATTCTATTTAGAATATTCTGGGTGTATCCTAGGCTGTAAATATAGGAATCTAAGGCTCTAATCAAGGAGTTTAGGAAGATTTATAGCTGCAATTTCCTAGTTTAGATGCTATATATATATATGCAAGTTGTAATACCTGTAGAGGTACGGTAATGCAACCAATATTTTCTGATTCAGATCAGTTTTCATGGTATCAGAGTTGGCCTATTTTTTCTAAACAAGAAACCCTAGCCATCAACCGCTCTAATTTTTTTTCTTCCTCACCACCATATCTGAAATTACACCAGATTCTACACCCATTCTTGTTCATCTATCTACCTTTTCCAAAGCCAAGGATTCCATCAATAAGACAAAGAATCCTCATGACTTATCTTTAGATTCTCATTCAGTTCAAATCACCACGATTAAACTGAATGGAGACAATTTCTTGCACTGGTCTCAATCTATGCGCATGCACATCTGAGGCAGGGGAAAGATTGGGTATTTAACTGGTGAGAAGGAGGAGCCAAACTTGGATGATCCGACCTATCTAGTTTGGGATGCAAAGAACTCCATGCTCAAATCCAATTCTGGATTATCCGGTACTCCTAATGCTTCTTTGGCACAAATAGGTAGTGATTTAAATGCTTTATTGTGTTACTCTATATCACAATCCGCTCAATGGATCATTTATTCTGGAGCATCTGACCATATGACAAGTTTTTCAAATTTATTGCAAACTTATGTTCCTTGTTTGGGTCATGAAAAAATTCGTATAGCAGATGGGTCTTATACCAACTAGATGTGAAAAATGCTTTCCTGAATGGTGATTTGGAAGAGGAAGTCTTTATGAGTCCGCCTCTTGGTTTTGAAGAGTTTGTTGGTCAAAACAAAGTTTTCAGACTTAAGAAGTCATCGTATGGTCTCAAACAGTCTCCAAGGGCATGGTTTGAATGGTTTGGGAAAACTTTAAAAGGATATGGGTATCATCAAAGTCAAACAGATCATACTCTTTTTTTTAAACACACTGATGAAGGGGAAATAACAATTCTCATTGTATACGTTGATGACATGATACTAACGGGTGATGATCTTGATGAATTAGCAAGATTGAAAAAGAGACTAGCTGAAGACTTTGAGATTAAAGACCTAAGAACATTGAAATATTTTCTTGGCATGGAATTTGCAAGATCGTGGGAAGGAATCTTTGTAAATCAAAGGAAATATATCTTTGATTTACTAAATGAAATTTGTCTTGTAGGTTGCAAGGCTGCTGAGACTCTAATTGAGGTAAATCTCAAACCAAATCCTATTAAAATTGAGGATGTAATTGAAAATGAGAAATTTCAGCGCTTGGTGGGAAGACTTATATATCTATCACACACTCATCCTGATATAGCATTTGTAGTAAGTATGATAAGCCAATTCATGCATGCACCAAGCCGTGAGCACTTTGAAGCTGCCTATAGGATACTAAAGTACCTAAAAGGGACTCCAGGAAAGGGTTTGATATTTAAAAAAACGTGATCACATTCAGGAGGAAGTCTATACTGATGTTGACTGGGCTGGTGGTGTGATAGACAGGCGATCAACATCTGGATGTTGTACATTTGTTGGAGGAAATTTAGTTACTTGGAGAAGTAAGAAACAAAATGTTGTGCACGAAGTAGTGTTGAAGCAGAATTTAGAGTCCTTGCACAAGGGATTTGTGAAGCTATGTGGATTAAGAAATTGCTAGAAGATTTGAAGCTTCCTGCATCGCTTCCTATGAAAATTTATTGTGATAACAAAGCTGCCATTTCAATTGCTCATAATCTGGTTTTTCATGATTGGACTAAACATATTGAATTTGATAGGCACTTTATCAAGGAGAAACTTGAAAGATGGCTAATTTTCTTTCCTTATATTCCTGCTTCTCAACAAGTGGCTAATATAATCACCAAAGGTCTACTGGAAAAACAATTTGATTTTCTAGTGAGCAAGCTGGCAATGGAAGACATTTACAAGCTAGCTTGAGGGGGAGTATTGGAATGGGAAATATTCTATTTAGAATATTCTGAGTGTATCCTAGGCTGTGAATATAGGAACCTAAGGCTCTAATCAAGGAGTTTAGGAAGATTTATAGCAGTAATTTCCTAGTTTAGATGCTATATGTAGCTATACATAGGTAAGTTGTAATACCTGTAGAGGTATGGTAATACAACCAATATTTCCTGATTCATATCAGTTTTCAGACTGTCATGCTGGTTACTGAATTTTGACAGGGATTTTCACTGCGGACTGATTGGGTACCAAGTCAAGAAAAAGCTTCCACCAACAGGGTCTCCAGAAGATTCACCTCCTGGCATGTCAAATGGTGGTAGCAAGAAACATGTCATGGTGAATCATGGTATGCCAAATGGCGGTAAAACAAAACCTGTCACATTGAGTCAAAATCTCCCTTCTATTAGTGTGAAGGCAGCATCTGCTGCAGGTACACCCTTTCAATCTGAAAAAGTTGTGCTTGAATGATACTAGATAATTATCATTTCTTCCCATGTGCTCGAATAAAATTAATTGTTCGTATCACCAAGCTTTCTTTGGAATAATTCCATTGACAGGACTATCATCAAAGAGGAAGGAACATAGTGATTTAAACAAATTTGAAAGCATGAAACGGCAGGCTGGGACAAGGGCCAACACTCACAGTTTGGAAATAAAGGTCTGTGTAAGGAGCATGGATCTGAATATTATATTGAAGTTGAAGCATAAAAGCTTTGGTCTTTGCCTCTACTATCACAACTATATGTTTCAGTCCTAAGACTGTCTCTTACATGCATCTTACTTCTGATGTAGAATTCATTGTCCATTGTGAAGGTAGGACTTAGGAGAACAATAATAAGTAGTATAGTACCCAAGCAGAAATTGCTAGTATAGTAGCATTCAAGACAGAGTGAGGTGATTCTCAGGTTGCTTGTCTGCAAAAACTCCAATTTGATATAATTAACATGCACACACATGGATGCATGTCTGCATGCCTGCAAGCACAGAGGCAGCTTCTTTCCCATGGGGTTATTTTCATTACATAGCCTGCTTTTGCATTCTATTTCTTAACCAAAATGGGTGATCTCTGTGCTTTTTGCATTTAATTTTCTTGTTCTGATCTATTCATTTGTTTGCATTCTGTTATGCTGTTTCTTCAAAGAAATCTGTTGTAATTTGACTTGCAATCTTTTGTAGTCTGTGAGTGCTACTGCAAATCAGTCGACGGATCGGGAGGCAATGAACTTGATTCAAGAAAAAAGAAACTTCATGCAAAGTAAGTATATCAGAACATTACTCATACAGTCATTTGCAGTTTTCATTCAACATATAGCTTGAGTTAATCATGTGATTAATTGGTGAAGCAGAATAGGACAAAGGAGTCTTATGTATTGATTTGTAATTTAATATTTTTTTTGGAGTTTTATTATTATGTAGGAAGTTTAATAGGATTTATTATTATTAAAGACTATAATATTAGGATCTTATTTTCTATTTTTTAGAATACTAGGGTTGCTTGGTGCCCAAAGAAGCATCACATTCTATTTATTATGATGAAATCAGATTGAAATTTGAGTAGTATTTTCTTTCAACGTTCTTCCTACCCTCTGCTATAGGGTTTTCTAGCATATTCTTACCCTTTTCTAAATGGTTTTCTTTTTATATCCTTTAGCTCTCTTCCAATGGGATCTGCCCTCTTCTGTAGGTTTTATTCTCTCTTGATAAATTTATCCTTCTCGGATAAGGAGTTCTACAACCTTTTTATCTTCTTTGTTACCCCTATTCTATATCAATTGGATTGTGTACGATCAGAGATAAGCTAGTGTTTCAAAGTTGCAAAGTTAAGATTAGACTAGCACTGGTTTAACATCTGGATCGCATCAAAATGCATTGCAGGAGAATTAACTAAAGACGATAAAAAAATTGCCCCAAATTGGAGGAACATGGATTGTTTTAAACTCAGCATTTGCCGAAATTTTACTTTGTTTATTTTATTTTCAGATGCTTGGAATATGAGAAAAGGAGGGGAGAACTAGATCTGAAGGTATTTCATGTGCCACAATCAACCATTACCTGCTTATTCTATATCTTCCTTTCAAAATAAATAAGCATTTTTTATCACACTCAAATGTATAGTAGTTTATTGGAGATATTTATGGAGTTTGCACATACTAGTATTTATCGCAGCATGTATGTATGTATGTATTGCCTGTCTGCAGTAATCAGTGGATTGGTATTATCAAGATATGGTATTTTTAACTCCATTCTGCACAGGCTTATAAATAACTACAGTAGTAGAGCATTTGAATTCAATAAACTAGAAATTGATTTTTTTCTTTTTTTCTAAGTAGTGTAATTTTGCCAATTCTAGAAACCATAAACTCTTGCCAATAAGTGTGACAAAGTTTTGCAATCGCCAAGTAGATTGATTCCCATTTGGCATCCTAACAGATGTAATTAATAACAAAATTCAAATTTAAATTGAATCTTGTATATGAGGACAAGTTGTCTTTGCATTAGAAATGACAAGAGATTAGTCTGGATGATTATCAAATATCAAACTGATGATGTTCTTATTGGTGCAGGTGACACAACTAAGAAGTGAACTAGGAGATGTTCAACGGGAGTATGATAGGCTTATGGCTGAATTAACATCATTAGATACAGTCAAGGAGGAAAAGCATGTACATATCTAGGTTTCATTGGTAGCTCGCTAGCTGTCTTCAATTCTTTTATTTGTAAAACACCCTTGTTGTATCAATCTTTTATCGGATAGTCTAGTCGTTCGCTGTTCGGTGTTGATGCGAACAGGTCAAACTGTAGTCTATAAAGAAACCCAAAATCAAGCATGATGAAAATTGAGAAATCAATGAGGTCAATAGATGCGTAGATAGAAATCAGTTCATGCTTTAATCTGTGTTCACATTCCAGCTTTGTACATGCAATTTTGTAGGATTAGAAATTTAGAATCAATCTTGATTTCCTTGAAGTTGGTCTCACCAGTGTGTGTGTGTCTGTGTGTATATGTGGTTAATGTCTCTTTGCTCAAGTGTACTAATCCTTTAGTATCAGGACAAATTTTATAACACAAGGTGTAAATAGTGATATGTACAATAGTTATTCTTTGGGTCTACTTTGAGGGGAGAGATAGACACACAAAAAGAGAGAATAAAAAAATTGGAATGGACGTGAAAATCTTCTTATCACTTTTAGTGGGTATAGATGTAATTTTTTTTATCCGTCTATCTCTCTCCTCAAAGTGGGTCTAAGAAGTAATTATTATATATGTTATTAGTTACTCTTTGTATATTATAAATTTTTTCGTGTGTCGGTAGAAGGTTCCTTTATTATTATTTATTTATTTATTTATTTATTTGTCTTAATGTCACTCTAGTCTGTTACGGTTTTGTCAACCGGCATCGTGGGTTTTTTAAAGTATGCTTTGATTCCTAAAAGTTTTTCAAAAATTTACTTTGGTATTTATTTTTCTTACAAGTCCTTCGTTGAAGAATCTTTGGTCATCATACTTTATAGTAAGTACAATTTAGTTCCTAAATGATTTTGTTTAATTAAATCTCTACATGTCAAATAGTAATTTTGGTCTAAATTCTTTTATTATTGTAAATATATGATTTTTTTTATTTTTATTTTGAATTCTTTTTCTCATATTATTGTAGATATTATTTTTCAATAACCTAACATAAATAATTCAATACTTATAAATCAACATTAGAAAAAAAAAGAAAAAATGAAACACAATTTCATGTAAAATTAAATGTCAATTTAACTCTTTTATACCATATTCAAGTCAATTAATTCATTCTTTTGCAACAAAAGCACCACATATTGGCATATATAAAAAAAATAAGAAAGTTTTATCCGAAAGAATAGCCTAGTTTTTGAACATTTTGATAATTTTGTTTGATTAGATTATGGGTGTTCACGATTCGGTAAAAGTTGAATAATCGAATTGCATTGAAATATTAATTTTGATGCGGCTTTTTTTTTAATACGAAATTAATAAAAAAAAGAATCAAAATAATTTTGATTTTTGGGTTTGGGCTTTTTTTTTTTTTTATAAAAAAATTCGACTAACAAATCAAAATTATATATATATCACTCGCTACATCCATTATTTCTAAATTGAAAAACCCTTTTCCCTTATATACACTTCCTCCCACAGACTTGGTACATGCTTTCTTTGTTTCTACTATAAGTTTAGATGTATACAAAATAGCAATGATATTGGTAGATTTTCTATCGTCTCAAATTCAATCCTTTTTGAGTAAATAAATTATTATTTATTTATCTATCAATGCACTTGTTTTTTTTTTTTTGACGCAATTTAGTTTTCTAACTAGTAGTCCACAAAGTAAAAAGAAACCTAATCTAAACGAGAGATTTCAAAGAATTAGCTATTTTTAGAAGAAATAAAATAAAATAAAATGAGTAAAAATCGAAATATCGAATATCAAAATATTTCGAAACCGAACCGAAAAACCGAATAACATTTCGGTTCGGTTTCGTTTATTTTTTTAAAAAAATTAAGTTAACCAAAAACTGTCCAAAATATTTCGAAATCGAACCGAATAACCGATCGAATACCCCTAGATTAGATTGATCGCAAATGTGATTGTTTTTTATTTATTGTGGTTGATATTATTGTGATTTTGTTAAATTTTTATTTTATAGAATATCATTATCTATCATGATAATTTTAATCAAGTTTATGATTTGACATGTAAGGATTTGATTGATTAAAAATTTATCTAAAGACTAAATTATATTTGCTATAAAATATGATGGTAAAAAAACACTTTCAATTAAAGACTTATATATAAGAAAAATAAAATAAAATATTAATGTAAAATTTTCAAAAGCCTTAAAGGATCAAAATATTCATTAGTGATAAATTATATGTTGCCACGTGCCAAATTTTATTGGCATTAATAAAACCAACGTACGAAAAAATGTAATGATGATAAAAATATAACATAAGATGGATGATATTGAGATTAAAAAACTAGATTTTTTTTATTTTTTTTAATTCTTAATAGAGACTAAGCTCTAAACAAAAGATAGCTTGTTACATAAAACGTGGAAAACCAATTCGACAAATATCCTCGAAGGAGGTTACTACAATCTATTAGAGTATACTCCAAATATAAAATGCCTAAAGAATAGGAGTAAGCGTATGAAGCAAGCCGATCAATCAAACGGTTGGCTTCTCTAAAAGTGTGAGCAACTTACACTTACCAAGGTTCCCGAAAAAAACTACAAATAGTAGAGGTCAATTGATAATAAAGCCTACAATGATCCTTAGAACATAGGATTAACTTGACCGCAACAATGGAGTCCGATGCCAAAATAACATGTCAATACCCCATATTCCAAGCCATCTTTAAACTAATTGAAATGCCTTAAAGTTCTACATATAAAACAAGTATAAATCCCTATTCGATAGGAGAAACCATATAACCAAGTCCCTATATCATCTCTAAGAATTTCTCTAGTCGTAGCAACGCCTACCAAAGCTTGAAGTGCCCCATCCGTATTGAGTTTTACCCATCCTAATAGTGGTTTGACCCAATCAATCGGAGCTTCAATCTTTCTCTCATATGAACTATTTAAAAAAGAGGTCATCTCAAAATTAGTAGCAATGTTACTACAAAGACATGAATGATTTCAATTGGCCTATTAGGCATAATAAAATTTTCATAAAAAATGAATTTGTTTCTTGAAGACCAAATAAACTAGTAGCAAAATCCAAACTAAGTGATCCAAGACATTGCCTTCGGATTAGTAGAATTGATTTTACCAAGTTTGTATAAGTCCATTCCTTAAGATCAAGAGAAATGAAATGAGAAACATATTGTCCGCACCAACTTCCTTCCATATAGCAATTATAGTAGGACAATCCCTCGAACATGAATAACGGTTTCATGATTATTATGGAAGCAGACACAAAAAGGGTTAGATGTTAGGCCCTTGCATATTCTTTGCATCTTGGTGAGAAGTTTTTCGTGGATTGTAAGCCATAAGAGGGTGCAAATGCGTTGAGACCCTTTCATCGCCACATCGGATCCTATATGTCCGGATTATTGATAAGCCTCGGTTGAGAAGAGTCATATACGGACTTTATAAAGAATAGCCTATTAGTGGTGAGGGTCCAAAAAGGCATGTCTTCTTCGAGATGAAGCTAGAAGAGGTATACCTATAATTTTCAAACATATTGAAATTACTAAAACTCTCCCACATCCACTACGACATATCCTTGACATAATCTCCAACCTTGCTTATGATGATCTCGGTCGGAATGGGTACTAAGACATGATCTTTGAGAGGACCAAGAAAAGGGATCCAAGTGTCCGTCTAAAAGCCAATCTTTTAACCATTACCAATAGACCAATCTATATTTTCCCAACATCATTCCAAACCTTAGAAAGCCCTCTCCATATATTGGAGTAACTAACATGTAAGATAGAGGAAGGGATATATTGAAGATCAACTTTACACTTACCGCATAAAATTTTGACTTGGTAAGAAGATTTGGCGGATATGATTTCCCATCCCATTTTCATAAGCAAAGCATTGTTCATCGCTATAAATTTTCATAACCTAAGCCCATCATGCTTCTTAGGCTGATAGATGTTTTCCCAAGAGATTAGATGAGTTTTCCAATTATTGTTCGAACTACCCCAAAAAAATCTTTGTAAAGCTTTTCAATAGCATTGATAGTCGTTGTTGAAAGACAAATGGTCCGCATGCTATAAATATGAATATGAATGGCGACGATAACAAATTGAGTTAGAGTCACTCTACCAATAAGTGTTAAGTGCTTGACCTTCCAATCCGACAACCTCTTGCAAACTTTCTCAACAATATATTCATAAGTGTTATTGACTTGGTTATGATGGAGACGCACACCTAAGTACATTCCTAAGTCATCTATCAAGTGAAAGACCGATCGATTCATCGAGAAGTCTAGCTTTTCCTATACAAACATCACGAATACAAAAAGATGAGTTTTGGAAACATCAACATTCTAACTAGAAGCTAAGAAAAATTTATTGAGAGCCTCCAAGATGACATTTAACTAGTCACACTCATCCTTTGCATAAAAAATTAAGTCATCGACAAACAAAAAATATGTAATGAGCGGCCCACTTTTGCTTCATTATATCGATCTCTATTTTCTTCTTGAACAGTAGTTTGAATTAGATGACTCAATCTTTCCATTCGGAGAACAAATAGATAGGGTGATAACGAATCCCCTTATCGAATGCCTCCGGTTGGTTTGAAACCATTAGTAGTTAGACTATTCAAAGTAATTTCTAACTCAACTAAGGACAAACATTTCCTAATTAACAAGCATAAGGGGTGAGGTAGCTATAGATCAAGTAAAGTATCCAAAATAAACTCCAACCTAAGCTCGTCGTAGCCTTTTTCTAAGTCTAGCTTTATTGCTATTTATCTTTTTTTCTCTTTTTATTGTTCATGGAATGGATGACTTCTTGTGCAATGATGATGTTGTGTATAATTTTTCTTTTCGGAACGAAGCTTACATGAGTGGGAGTAATGATCGAAGGAAGAATAGGTCTCGGTTTATTAATAATGAACTTTGTGAGCACTTTATAAGAGACATTACATAGACCTATTGGATTAAATTGATTGGCCATCTCTAGGACATATACTT